TTGCTTGCTTCCTTCCTTCCTTCCTTTTTTCTTGCTTTTGCCCTTCATTTCTTCCTATATTTTATTTTATTTCAGTTTCATGAAAATGGCCTAAGAATAAAACATCTGTAACGTTCTGACTTCATGGTCCAGGCATACTTAACCATAAAACAGATCCACGACTCATTCCTAATAATTTATAATACTCGGAACTATTGTAAAACGTTGACCATCTATGGACAAGGTATCAGGTCTTGGTGCTCTTAGGAAACAGCTTTCGTAGGGCAAAGCAACAGAAATGAAATGTCATGAAATATATTGCATCTTCTCTGTCTTAACACACGTCAGCCGTAAATAAAACCCATCGTGTACAGCTATTTTAAAAAAGGTTGAAGGTTTTGTTGCTAACTATGCTTGTATTATGTTCATGTGTAAATCTGCCCAGATGACATGCAGACATGGTACTTTTTTGCCTTGGTATGCAACAAAACCTTCACCAACCTTTTTTGAAATAGCTATATAGACTGAGAGTAATGTATAGACCTCCAAAATATGCTTGAATGATAACCAGGGTTCATAGCCCACCTTTTATTCCAATAACTAGTCAAGCTTTGTGATCATGAAAAATTCTGGAAAGGTTTATTTGTATTTATTGATTTCTACAAGAAGCGAAAGGATGCTTGCATGATCATGGAAAATTGGTTCGCGTTTGCAGTGCATTGTGGGACTAATAGACCGTTTTTTCAAGGTTGCATGCGCATCCAACTTGACGGGCCACAATACTGAAATACGCAAAATCAGTGAAATTGAGAAGACAGTTTTTTATCCAAAGATGAGAATAATCGATTTTATGAATTCTTATCGAAAAAAACTTCATAGCAATGCATGATAATACTCGTGTTCTGGAATCGTGCAACGTCGAGTTCCTTAAGTTTGGATGCGCACGTAACCTTGAGAAAACGGTCTATTGAGGGAATGAAATGGACGCCACCTTGGAAATACGTTCTCTAAATAGCCCCACAATGCATTGCAATGCTAACTCGACCTATTTTTTACCCCGACCTCGTACTGACAATTCTCCAGAAAGCCATCCTATTCTTTTGAAATCTTTGCGTCAGTCACAGCTTTACCTTTGTAATAGAAAAACACGCATTAAAAACATTTTGTGAAATAAAATATTATTAGCTACCAAAGCTGCAGGAGAAAGTTCGAAGGAAACGCAATATCTTAATTAGAGGATTTTGTAAACGTCTCTATTTCTTCACCTCATTGGTGCAATTATCTGGAATAAACATCTTTGATTTAATGATAGCGGTTGTTGCTTTATTGCTTTTTTAATCCATTCTACTAGGACAGAGCGGAAAAACCGGACGCATGCGCATTAGAGACTATTTTCATGAGTAATCCAATATGGTGGACGAAGGGCGGTAAAAATCTGTCTCTAGGAAAATTGCTCTAAAAATGGACAAAAACGCAGCAATGACACTCAAAACTTTTGATCACAACTCGTAATCTGCCACAGTACTTGATCTTGGTAGTTTTTTTGAAGCTTGTGGTCGACTTGACGCCAAAATAATGAATTCTT